AAAAATGACCTCAGTGGAGCTTTTTCAGTCACTGCTGCTGTTGTTTTTGTGAATTCAAGTTGCACTCCGACCACCATCAGTCTCACTGATTTCATTGATCATCTTCTAATGATTCGCTCTCATCCTGCTGCAGCTTCCTTCTTCTCCCATTCTTGTGTTTAATCCCCGCAAAAAGTATTTAACTGTGACCGTGGCCGCCCTCGGGATCGCTTTCTCCCAGTTCGACAACCCCGCCGTGACCTGTTAAGTCGCCGTCACGACGGAGCAACGCTGGGATTTAATCAGCTGTTTGAGCAGCTGTTGCTTCTGCAGAGGTTCACGTCTGTGAGGCGGCTTCAAGACGTCAGCAGAGAGACGCCGGTGCAGCGCTGCGCCTGGCTTAGTGGTGGTTATGGAGGCATGTGTGGGAGCACGGGCTGAAAACTACAGTCTGATGTCTGGTGATGTGCATGAACTGTTAGTTTGTGTTGTTTGGAACAACTTCTCACAATATGGAGGAAGTTTTGAAAGCTTGTAAATCACAGCACTGGTGGAATTCAGTTTTGTGACACTTAAAATATCAACTCCCTTTAATTATTCCTACTATTTTATGCAATTTTAGATCTTCTGTTACAGAAATAAAAACAAAATAAATTGATCCAAAAAGTCACAAAGTGTTGGATTAAAAAATGGGGAATTCATTTTTTTTTAACGCTTTAAAAGTCAACTCAGCTGAGTACATTCTGTAATTAATAGGATTACTTTATGTTGTTTTTTTGTTTGTTTTTTTAATCAATAAAGACATTTCTACCATGAATTGATGCATCACTAATTGGTGCATTAAAAAAATCACCAAAATACAGGGAATTAAATGGTTTATGCAAAATCTATGTCCATAATAAAAAAAAGGCCAAAAATAATGAAAAATAAATAAATGAATAATATCAGATGATAAGTAAAATGGGGAGGTCGGTTTTATAGCACTTTGGCATTTTAAATATTATTATTCCATCATAAACTGATGCAAAAAAACACACAAATTGGTGCATAAAAAAATCATTAAAATGCAAGAAATTAAATGGTTTATGTGAAATCTATGCCCATGATTTTGAAAAAAGTCCAAAAATAATTTCAAAAAATAACGTAAATAATATAGGGTAATAAGAAAAATGGGGAGGTCAGTTTAATAACACTTTGGCGCTTTAAATATTATTATTCCATCATAAATTGGTGCATAAAAATTTACCGAAACGCAGGAAAGTAAGTGTTTGAAACTCAAAATTTAAGTGGAGAGGATGCGCAGAATTTTGATTTATGTGTCCCCAATGTTACAAACATATATTACATCCATTTGATAAAAAGAATATGAAGAGTTTATACACGGTTATTAAAGCTAATTTTGCTCATTCATATCCGCTACAACCAATAAATCTATTTACAGTCATTTTATAACTTTTTATATAGAAGTTTTGGGTTTGGTTGTTGTTGTTTTTTTTAATGGTTGGGTATTAATGTTTGAAGGTAAATGGAGAAATTTTGTGGCAACATGATGAATAACATTCACAAGGGGATGCTGCCCAGTTATAACACTGGATTCAGATGAAGTGTGCACTATAAGTGTGTCATTATGATCACATTTTATTTATTTATTCATCAATATTTGCATATCTAGAGTTCTGGAAAACATTAACAAGTCTAAGATTAGAATATTTTTGCCTCAAGAATGAAGTTTGTGTTGGATTTTGAACCAATCATGCTTCTTATTAAATCATCTGTAACACACTGCACCGGTTTATTCTGCAGAAACACAAAACAATGCGTTATAAACAATATATTACACGTCTATGTAGGTCTTATAAGTGGTTTTGCTGTTAGTGCAGCGACTGTGTGGTGACGTGAAGCAGAATATTCAGACAGAAGCTGTTCAGCAGTTCAGTGTGTGAAAACCAGGCGGTGGGTTCGAGGCTGAATGAAGACTTTTGTCCTTTGCTGCTGATTGTGTGTCTGTGTGTTAGTGTCACATGAACTGAAGGCCCAGTGACGGAGGCTACAGGGTTGACGGAGGCTCTTGTTGGGAGCGTAAAACTGACTTTTCCCATTTTTGACTCACTGCTGCATATTTAAAGAAAGATAATAAGTCAGCATTTCATTTTACAGTCAAACTTATGTCGTTATTTTGGGTTTAATAACTCTTACAGCCTAATTTTAACGAGTTAATCTCAGTTTTGAAGCAGAAAATCAAGAGTTTAACTTAGAATTCCAAATAATTTTGATACAATACTTCACGTTTGACTTAGCAAGGCTTCATAAATCTCATTTTCAGCATAATAAAATAACATTTTTGACCCACCGTCTCATAAATATTTGACTTTAATGCATAATTAATCCACTAATACAGCTAACTGTCAAAACAATGACAAGGCATGTTAAAATTTCTTATCATTATGGTTCAATGCTTGTACATTTTAAAGAGTCCGTCTCAATTTTAGACGTTGTTGTCTTAATACATCTAATTTATGATGGAGTAAATTTGGAATTTCCGTATGTTTCTGACTCAGTGCTGCATAACAAATGGATTAATAAAGCTTACAGACAAAACAAAGACAAGAAACATTACATGTCTCATCATTTTGGTTCCTTTCCTGTAAAACTCAAATCTCCGTTTAGAAAAAGTGAATCAGGATTTTTAAAGGAAAATCTTAAAATGTACTCACTATCTCATAATTTTTAACTTAATGTATCACAAGCTCGACTTAGTAAATCCTAATAATCTCATTTTTGATATTGTAACATCAGATTTTCATCTACTGTTGTTTCCTTTTACTGTCAAACTTATAAGAAGACACACTTAAGATTTCACTCAAAACATCTGATCATTTTAACATATGACATCACAAGCCTGACTTAGTTAATCTCATCTTTACTGTCATTTCCTTTTTCCTGTCAAACTTATAAGAAAACACATTTAATGTTGTTTATTTCGAGTTTAATAACTCTAACAATCTAATGTTGAGTTATTCTCCGCTCTGAAATAGAAAATCAGGATTTTACCTTAAAATCTTAAGATTTAGACTCAATATCTGATCATTGCAACATAAAACATCACAAGTTTGACTTAGTTAATCCTAATAAATCTTATTTTTGAAACTGTAATGAAAATGTAATTTCCTTTGACTGTAAAACTTTTAAGAACACAGTATTAATGCTTAAATATTTTGAGTTTATTAACACTTAGAACTTAATTTTGATGAGTTAATCACCGTTTTGAAATAGAAAACCAATAATTTAACTTAAAATCTTAAACATGTCTAATCTAGACTAACATACCGTGTGTTTGACTCGGTGAATCCTGTTCATTCTCATTTTTGACCTGCTGTCTTGTATTTTTGACTCAGAACTGCATAATTAACTAGCTGGCTCATATTTTTTTTGACCTAATTACATTTAAATTACATTCTCATCCTGACATTTTTCAAATTGGCTTTAAAAAAAAAAGGCTGATTCTCTCATCTTTCTTCTTTGCTTTCTCATTTTTTATGCTCAATATCTAACCAGACAGGAACTTTTCCAGCTGGATAATGCCCACATTTATGCTTTGCAACACAATGCATGTCTGCAGCAAACCACAAAAGGCCACACACTGTACATACAGGCTGCCTCTTCTTCACTTAGTGTTGCAGTAAATCTTTGAGGGAGGGTGTGACTGTGCTTCACCAAAGTCCATGTAAAAATCTGCTCTTTTAGATGAGTAAAGTAGTAAAAAAAAAAAACAGCATAAATGTGGATGTATTCAAACAGACTGCCTGTTTTTTTAGTGTGATAATAGCTGTGAAGTGCACAAGTGGGTTTATTCATTTCACAATCTGGTGTCTGAGCAGAAAGCAGTGACTAAAAGCGAGGAAAGAAAAGTGCCTTACCATATCATACACGTTAAGGATGACAGGTTCATTGGCCATGGTTTAAACCTGAGCAGGACAGGCAGGACGGACCTCCACACCCCGGGGAAGTCACAGGGCCACAGGGCGGACGGCGGTGGCGGCGGCAGCAGGGGCGGGCGGACTTGTGCCGGAGGCTCGGTGGCTGCTCATTCCCCCCGCAGGGCGCACACAACACGGACACGCAGCTCTGCGCGTAAAAGCCTGGAAAAGGTCCAGAGAAACTTGACAACTCCAGCTCAGATGGACGCCACATGCAGGGGCATCATGGCAGAAGAGAAAAGCCTCAGATCAGGGCAGAGCAGAGCGGGGTGCAGCGGCCCATCTCCGAAAATATCCGCTGGAGAGAAAAAAGAAAAAAGGAAATCGATGCTGGCAGGAGGCGAATTGGATCAAAACACCAGATCAGTGGTGATAGTGTGATCCAGAAGAGAGGAAGGATTAAAAAAAAGGGGGCCTACATGAGGGGAGATGTGAAGCCTCCTGTCAAGGCGGACCGATGTCGACGGCGGAGGCGGAGTGCGGGCCATTTTTACGCGGAGGATGATGGAGCAGCTGCGGGAGAAGACTCCTGGGCCATGGCGGGTAATTACAGCTGATGGAGGGGCTTCACCAGCAGCATCCCCGGCCGGTGCTGCTCCTGCTGCCGCTGCTGCTGCTGCTGCTGCTGCTGCTGGCCGGCATCCAGCATCGGACGGTCGGCTCAAAGCTCCCCGGCATGACTCCTCCAAACCAAATCAGAAAGTGGCCAAAAGCAGCCGCGATGCGTCCGCTCGGTGCGTCCGTCCGTCCGCTCGGTGCGGCTCTTCTCCGGTTCTGCCTCTCTGTGATTACATCATATCTGCCTCCGAGGCTTCCTCACAGCTGATGGAGCCGCTGGTGGGAGAGAAGCAGCACTGTTTGTTACAAAACACACCGTGTACAACCAGACAAGCACATTCAGCCCGTTTAGTTCAGCTCCATTTGCGTAATGTTGATGGATTTGGTTGTAAAAGTGTATTTTCTTGCACATACTTTGATTGTTAGAATTATTTTTACATTATTTTTTAAAATCTAGTTATATATGCAGCAACAAAACAAACAACAGGTTTTGCACTTTATTTTGGTAACAATTCTGCTTTTATTTTGAAGGTACCATCAGGATTTATAACTAAAAGTCTTGAAATTTACTCAATAGCGAGTAATCTTTTCAAACATTTTTGACAGGAGGTAAACAAAATAAATAAATATGATGTTTCGATGTCAAAAATTAGCTTTATTCAGATTTACTGAGTCAAACATGTTGCAATATGTTAAAACTACTCAGATTCTGGGGTTTAAACGTTTGGATTTTAAGTTCAAATCTTGGTTTTCCATTTTAAAACTGATATTCCCTCAACATCTCATAATTCTATCATCACATATCATGATTTATTAAACACAGTTGTGAACAACCATTCAGTCAAGTCAGAATTAAGTCAGAATTATGAGCCACTGGGTTGATTTTGCAGTTGTGAGTCAAAAATGTTGCGACAGTTGGTCAAAAATATGATTTACTCAGATTTACGAAGCCAGACTTGTGATATATTATGTTGAAACGATCAGCTGCTGAGTCTAATGTTTAAGATTTCGAGTTAAAAGCTTGATTTTCTATTTTAAAACTGAAATTAATCTGTAGGAGTTATTAGAGCAAAAATATTTAAATGCTGAGCATGTCTTCTTAAGAAATGTTGACTTATTATCCTTCTTTAGTTTCTTAATATCTGCCTTTTTAAACAACATTGAAAGAAAAGGCAACAAATTCTGAGCTAATTATGCAGTTCTGAGTCAAAAATAATGAGACAAATGGTGTTATGTGTCAAAAATATATACAGATGTGAACAATAGTTTACATACATTTGTAAACACCGTGTATATCAAGGCAGTCTTGAGTTTCCAGTGACTCCTATAACTGATTTTTTATTGTGGAATCGGTGAAACACATCCACCTCTGACACACACAAAAAAACAATCTTGCATTTTTGGTACTTTTATATATTTATTATATTTATAGTACTTCTGGAAATATAACTAAATCTGTTGGGTCAAAAACACACATACAGCAGTGTAAATCATCTGGTAATGAAGAAAGTTTATCAGATGGTCTTAGTGGAATGGCCTCTTAAACTCTGAGTGATCACGACTGACTCCAGCTGGTGACTCCTTTGAGCCAATAGTAAGTATTTAAGGTAGTTGTGTCACTGCCACGATCTGGAAGAAAACACAAACTATCACTTAGCTCTGTCTGGTCAGGATGGTCAAGAGTCAACCAAGAATCACCAAAGAGCAGCTCTGAAGGAAGCTCTTCCTCCAGAAACAGCACCTCAAGACTCGACTGAAGTTTGCTGCTGACAACATGGACAAAGAGAAAACCTTCTGGAGGAAAGTTCTGAGGTCAGATGAAAGTACACTTAAACTGTTTGGCCATAATTACCAGAAATATGTTTGGAGGAGGGGCTGCAAGGTGGCGCAGTTGGTAGCACTGTTGCCTCGCAAGGTCGCCGGTTTGCGTCCCGGTGGGGGCACCGGAATCTTTCTCTGTGGAGTTTGCATGTTCTCCCCGTGCAGTGTGGGTTCTCTCCGGGTTCTCCGGCTTCC